TTTCTAACAGCGCTGTTAGTTTTGACCACTGGAGTCTCAAATATGTCAGGGATCTTGTTTATGCTGTGCTGGGATATCATGGCTGTCCCTTGAGGCCGTTTCCCCCTTGTGATTCAAGCCATGGCTTGTAGAAAAGGCATGAAAAAAGCAGAAAAAGTTTCAGGTGGCAAAGCATGGCCAAACGCCAAGCTGCCCGGCTGGTTTTCCCCAGGGTGTGGTCCTCGCCGCAGCAGCCCTGGTGCTCCAGAAAGACCTTCCCAACTCCTGTTTCACGAACAAGCCCAGCTGCTCATCTGCATGGGGACTTTAAAGGGTGAGGGTTGCAGATGCTTCTGTTCTGGTTTCGATTATGCCTTGCTTTCTTTTCATTTTACCATCTTTACTTGCTGCTTTTATCTGCTGTGAAAATAATTACTGGAAACTGGTACAGAAATGTTGCAGATAAATGCTTAAACAGAAAGTAAAATGTTGGCTTGCCGATAATAGCAAATAAATTACCCAGCCGGGGGCTATTTTAGTTTTGGCTGCTTTCGTAGTGTTGGCAAAATTATTTTACAGTGCACTGTTTTGACTGGATGCAAAATAACTGTTGTACTTATGATTTCTTTCCTGCTTGGTGGCATGTCTTTTAAATTTCTTGTACTGTTTGTTTCACCATAATTTTATACATTCAGTGAATTGAGTTTATTGACTATCACAGATGGTTAAAACAACTAAGCCCGAGTCGAGCTTGGTAATATTGTGTGATTACTAACACAGCTTATCAACTGCTGGGTAATCACTGCAGTGCAGAGTAAAAAGAGACTAAGAAACATTTTAAGGCTGTGTCTCAAGGGGACTTTGGAGAGAGAGCGGTTCGTGCACAAAAAGAGGCTCACAAAAAGATCCAATCAAGGTTAGTCCTCTCGGCCTGCAGGCTCCAGGCTGGACCCTGACGAGCACCACCCACCTCCTTTAAATCAAATGTGCCTTGTCCCCTGCGATGACGAGGACACCAGGGAGGCCTCTGACCTGGCCAAGGTCCGTGTGGCCTTACCAGGATGCGGAGGGAATAAGGGGCACCCAACTTTGCTGGCATGCTTGTGCCGCTGACGCAGCCTTATCAGCCCTTGTCCCTGAGCCAGGGCTGACTAGGTGGCCTCCTTCCCGTGCACAAGAGGCAGCTGCCTCTCGGAAACAGAATTCGGCCTGTCCCGGAGCCAGGAGCAGCTTTGAATGCGGCCACCAGGTCACTGTCACTCGGCATGGCCAACCCCCTGCGTGATCTCTCCGTGCAGGCTGCAAGATGCTTTGCAATCGCAGTGGTTTGCTTTATGTCTAGCTGGGTGAGGTCATTCCTTACAAAAGCTTTTTTCATGGCTCTACCTTTCTTAGTTTTTTTAGTGGGGTGGGGGGGGCATCAGAGAGGCCACCTAGCTGGAACTTGGGTGGCTGATGGGCAGTCCTCTGGCGTTGCCACCTAGAGGTCATCTTGGGGAAGTCTCCAGTCCAAAGAGATGGCCCTGTGATGGTTTATCTCTGTGCTGATCCTCTTCTAGGAGCTCTCCTTCCAAGGGAAAGGAGAGGGGAGCCAGGGGGCCAGAGTATCAGTAGGGGGACAGAGAGCAGCGCCTTCCCTCAAGCCCCTCCACCTATCTGGTCTGCTTGGACCTCAAGGCGAGGCAAATCTGCTCCTTCTCCCGTAGGCAGGGCCCTTGGGTCTGGTTGCCGAAAATCTGTCCAGCGAGCCCCTCTCCAGCGGGCTGCAGGCAAGCACCAGCATGCAGCCACCCTGGCGCCGGAGGCTTGCCTGGGGCTGCTGTGGGGACCATGTGAGCAGCGGCGAGACCTCTCTGCATCTGCTCACTGGAGCGAAGTCTGAGGGATCTTTCCTTGGCTTGGGAGGCCTTCCCAGTTGTTTTATCCCCCGGAAGTGGTTCCGACACCTTGCCTGCTTACACAAGTCTCCGGGGAGCCAGCTGGCCTGGGGCAACCGGGACGAGGCCATGCCCATGTCACTGGCCCCCCATCTTTGCCCAGCAGGCCGTTTGGCTCCCGTCACTCGTGAGGAGTTCTGCGCTCGCGTGGGCAAGCTGCCCCATCGCACTCGTTGCCACAGTGCCCCAGGTCCAGCAGCACGGGGATGCCCCGATCCTAATGTCCCAGCAGGTAGGACAAGAGCAGCTCCCAGAATCAGCGGGTCAGAGAGGCATGTCAGCAGAGGGAGGTTCCGTGGCCAACATCTGCGGGTGAGACATCGACTGTTGCCCCAGGAGGTGCAGCTGGACCCACAGCTCAGTGGCCGGGCACACGCTCTGCACCGGAAGCCCCCGGGGGGCTTCTGGAGAGCCTCTGGGGCTAGTCAGGGTCAAGGATACCGGGCTAGTGGGACTGGCCTCTGCCTGACTCAGGATAAAGCAACTTCCTCTCTTGCTTTCTGGTCCAAGGGCACAGGATGGCCCGAGCCAGCCCAAAGGGACGGCTTGGCGCAGTCTTACGTCACCCTCTGCTGGTAAAAGGAAAGAACAACAAGCCATGAGGGACAGCGCCAGAAGATCCTTTCCTGCAGGAGAAAAGAGAATGCAGCCGTCCAGTCCCTTCCAGAGATTTATGCAGGTGATTCTCCGCAAGCCAAGCGGTTGCCCATTTCCCAAGATCCCGTGTCGGCTGTGCATCTCTGGAGGCACATTGAGAAGGCAGGCCGACTGCAGTGCCCTTCGGATCTGCAGCCCCGCCGGAGGCACTGCTTGGGTTGACAGATGCTGGAACTGGGCCATGGTATTTCAAAGGGCCCTGTGTTACTTCCCATGACTGCGGAGGGTGACAAGGAGAACTGCAGTTGAAGATTTATTTCTGCTGTTTCTAAGAGGAGGATCGATATAACGTGATCCAGAATATCTGGGATGTTGAGGAAATGACAGAGACGCAAGTCGATCATGGAAGCAAACCCAGAGTTGTTGGCCAGAAGCCAATGTGCAGCGGGCCCCACATGCCTGAAGGGAACTTGGGCTTTTGAGTCCCACCTGCCAGGTGCTCAGAGGCGGCCGGGGCAGCGCACTGGATGGCCTGAGGGGCAGGCTGAGCAAAGGCCCTACCCTGATGCTGAACTGGCCCTCTGGAACAGCCTGATCCTCGGTCCTTGGGGACCTTCCCGATCCAGGGGTCTGCTGCCTCCTTCCAGCCGGAGGCCCAGCACCACCTCCTGCTGCGACTCCGCGCGC